CTTTAGAAAATTACTCTTTATGTGAAAAACATTATAATAATGTTGTTGCTAGAGATTCTTTTATTAATCAATTGAAACAAGCTAATAACTTAATTTTTTTAGATGAAGAAAGTAAAAGAAAAAGGTTGAAACTTTCCAATAATGATAATAACGAATTGCAATCTTATTGTGATTTTGAAGTTCAAGTATCTTTATTAGATCCAGAATATGAAAATAAAATTAATGAATTAACGCGTCTTAATAAGTAATTATTATCTGAAATTAATGAATTAAAGCATCTTAATAGGCAATTACTATCTGAAAATGAAATACCAAAAACAAAGTTAGATAGCCGATTTGCTAATCAAGAAGATCGTATCGAAGCTATAATAGATATTGCCAAAAAAAAAACGAGAAAATTTATATGATAACATAATAAGTTTAATAAATGATCATGAAAGATTTCAATTAAATAGTATTCTCCTTCCCAATGGCTTATTAAACGAAATCCGGTTGTTGTGAAATTCATAGAAGTTCTTACGTATAACAAAATGAAAATCAACATGAGGGTGAAAAGTTATTCAAATGTACTGTAGCAGTTGATGTAATTTATGGCATTAGACATCTAAAATATGTATCTGCTATCAATTTAACAGCATCAGCAATCAAGTATTCTATTACAAGATCTAAATTAATCATTGATATTGATAACCATTTTATTAATGCCAGAGGTTACACTAAATTTATTAAATGGCAAAAAAATTTAGCTAATGAACCACAATCATTTCTAATGGGTTTAGTATTTATGGCATTTGACAATGAACAAAAGGGTCAAAAAAATTATTTAGATCGCAGATATAATACAGTTATTTACTATACTGTTACAAGTTTTATTTTATTGAATTATGATCCCATTAATCAAATACAAAATCTTGAAAACCCTTAGTTACATAAAAACCCTCTTAATGCATTGCAAACTAAAGAACTATTTAATATCACCCTAAAATGCAAACATTAATTGATCAATAACTTCACGATTATCTTTCCGTCATCTTGACTGAAGCATGTATAGAAAAAAATGAAAATATAAATGCCATTGATAATTTAGTAACTAATCAAAATATAAAAATAGGTAAATAGAAATGGTGTCGCGAATGTGGTAAAAATGAGATTGAAAATTCAAGACGTAAATGTCTTCAATGTAATATGAAACTTCTCACACTTGCTGAAACCTGAGAAACAATTGACTAAATAGTATTTGAAAAAAAAGACACAATCAAACCTTTAATTTTTAAATCCTATCAGTCTGAAATAAATACTTCTGAAAAGCTTACAAATTCAATTAACACAATTAGTATAACCCAAAGATCTAATCAGAAAGACATTAATGTATCCGATATTCTTGTTCTAGATCCTATACTGATCAATCCAAACTTGATTAAAAATGTTCAAAAGTCATAGAACATATTAAAGAAATTAGTGGGATTAATAAAAGTGAACGAAAATGGATTGCGGTAGTTTGCGATGGAATTCCTTACCGTTATGCACAAAAATTTAAAAATGATTATCCAGAAATTCTTTTAATACCTAATCCGCTTCATGAGGAGATGAATATGTTGAAATCCTTTGTGAAATTGAATTAGCAAGTTATAGTTAGTTTCAAACTGTTTCAAATTAATCTGATCTTATAATTTCATAATATAAAATTCAGGACCATTGATCTATGATGTTTTGCACAAAGTCAAGAATACAAAACTGAAAACCAATTAGGATATTTTAAAAAGTATGCTGATCATCACAAAGCATGAGATTCAGTTTGTAATATTTTCAACACATGATAGCCATAAAATTAGTTTGGCCTTATGTTGCTTCAGATCCTAGTCCGACTGTTACTAGATATCTCAATTGGGTTAAGAACTAACAAGATGAGCTATATAAATTAAAATATGAACAAGTATATTAGTAATTTATAATTTAATAATTGCAAATATTCAAAAAAAAAAACTAATACTTATTCTTTTTTAGATCTTTTTGTATTTGCAAGCCATAATAAATTTTCATGCCAGAGTTAGACTTAATCAGCCCTTACTTAAATCAGCCACACGTAGAGCATTTGCCCTATTTGGTCTGCAAGGTGACATTCTATTTATCAAGAAATCGAAGTGGCTGATGAAGAACAACTAATGCGCCTTCGTCCTGAAATTCAGCAACTTATTGAACTAAATTTAATTATATCATGATCAGAATGGCCGAATCAGCATCAAGAATTAGATGCTGTACTTGAGGAAATTAATAAAATGCTGAAAATACTTATTCCACCTATACCAACTCAGAAGTATTGGAAAATAGCAGCAAGAAATTGTATTAAATTTATGAAGGTAAAATAATAAATTTTAATGTTATTTAATTATAATACTTATCTTTTTTTCACGGATCATTTTATTTCTTTATTGAAGTTGTGAAAGAGATTATTTACTACAATCGGATATGCAGATGCTGAAAGTGCTGGTCTATGAACGCATCCAGATTTTGAAATAGAATCATAATAGTTCCAAGTTCAATTGAGAAAAGTCAGCTTCTTAAATCCATATAAAGATAATCGTTATTTTGAAAGTTTAGACGGATATAATAAATTGAGAGAAGAAATGAAATCATTTAGTATTATAGCTCAAGCTTAACGTATAAATTACATCAAAGAAAAATTAAGTTCAAAGAAATAATTAGTTACCCGTTCCATTCCTGTTACAATCGATGAAGTACAAATACAATCAGCGGAAAGTTCAATGAAGAAGGAAGAACTGATATTGATAATTGAATCACTAATCAGATCTTTAAACGAGACTAATTAGTTACAATTTCAAGGATTAAAATCAAAAAGAAAAGATGAGTTGTTAATTATTCTGCAAGAAGTTCGAGATTTAACTAATGGTAATGCATGTAATGAAACAAATTGAAAAAAGTCAAAGCTTCAATAAATATTTGAAGGATTCTTCATAATCTCACTGAGCCTCTTTTCTGGACCAAGTTAAAAAAATATATATTACAAGTATAAAGATCATGGATTTTTTGAATAGGACCTTTGGTTAGTTATTTTTTTAAGAAATCTTTACGTAAAACTTTATCATTTCCATAGTTTATTACATTATTAGATTATCGTTATATTAACACATGATATATGATCATTTATAGCCAATAAAATTTTGTATTACTGAATGTCATCAGATTTCTAGAATGTAGATCATTGCCATATTTAGAAATATTATATATGAAAAAACACCAGACTGTTATATAACTAATTTTGATAAATAATTAGAAAAAAAAGAATATTAAATAATATTTAAAAAAAAAATTAATTACTAACTATAATAATTTATCATTTTGTAAATATCAGATCCTTCAAAGTATGTATGAATCTATATATTTTTTCTTAATTTCTATTTTTGAAAAAGAAGAAAATTAAGAAAGAATATATTTGAATTATTCAAAAATAACTCCTATAATAAAAATATTTTAAATGAAATTAATAATTTTAATTAACTATTAAATTTATTTAGAAGTAAATTCTATTATAAAAAAATATTTTTAATATTAATATTTATTTTTAAAAAAATTAAGACTATCTAACTTATCATTTTATTAAATATCAAATTCTTTAATCATTAGATTATTCAAAGATAAATTTTATTAAAAAAAAAGTATTTTAATGTTAATTTTACTTTTAAAAGAAATTATAATTATTATTACTTATCTTTTATACTAAATTATTCAATTTTAAATCATTTAAAATAAATTTTATTTATATTTTAATTTTGATAATATTAAAATTAATTATGTTTATTTAACATTTATTATAAATTATTAATAAAATAATTATGTTTATTAAAATATAATTTATCTGTTAAAATATAATCTAATTAATAATTTATTAATTTATATCAATATATTTTATTAGGACATTTTAATTATCCTTATTTCTTAAAATATTATATAATAAATATTATTACCTTATAGTTTTATATTATTTTCTGATTTAGCTATATTTAGTTATTTTATATTATACTATTTTTTATATATATAAATAACTTAAAAATAGCTATTAAAAAATGATTTTAGATTTTATGATTAAAAATTAGTTTTTTTATTTATTTTTATTATAATCAAAATTTATTAAAGAAAAAATAATTCTTATTTATCTTAAAATATATAATATATTAATTTAGTCACTTTTTTAATATTTATATCATATATTATCCCTTCAAGCATTTTGCAGGCAAATTTGCCTATAATTTTATTTAATAATTAAAATTATTTATAATATTTTTAAATATTTTTAAAATAATTTATATAAAAATTAATATTTTTATAATAAATTATATGATGTTTTTTAAGTAAAAATTCAAAAAAAATATGATTAATTAGTAATTATCTAGAACGAAGTGTAAGACATTATACTTTTAGGAGTTAAAGTAAAAAATTGTATTATTACGTATAAATTCTGTCTATTCTGCCATGTTATAAAAGATCAGATCAAAATAAAAAAAATAAAAAAAAATAATCAACAATAATCAACAAAAAACTAAGTAGGATAACTTATGTAATTTGTAACATCTTATTAGTATGAGGAAAAAAAAAAGCTACATTTTTTTTTACTTGTTAAATTTTTTTCATTGAATTTTATTTTTTTTATCATTATCTATTAAATTTTTTATTAGAATCTTTTTATACTTTGCAAAATCTATATTTTTGTTTTTTATTATTATTATTTTTATTATATTTTTAATATTATGATATTTTTGATATAATATTTTATTGCTCAAGAAAATATAAAATGCAGTTTTAGAAATTTGAAAACTTTGAAAATCATGAAGTTTTATTGTTGAAACAAGTTATTATGTACTTCTTACAACTTATATCAATTTCTAGATATCACTGAAGCTAGTCACTCTTCTTTATTTTCCTTTCTTACATTCTTCTACAGTCTTTAATATGCTAAAGTCTTTTGAAATTAAAAGGTTAAAAGAGTATATCTCTTATAGTGCTGACTCGAGTAACTATTACAAATGAAAGATTAGCTGCAAACTCCTTATCATCAAGATTTATTACAGTTTTTTGTGTGTAAACCCTAGTTTTTATATATAGTAATAGCTCATATAAGATGAATAGAAACTTGTAAGCATAAATATAATATTCTAGATTTGCTCTCCTAGGTATGTCAAATATGTGCAATTAGGACAACTTTTGTGCCTTCTAAGATAGCTATAAGGCATTTATAATTTTCAAATGAAATGAGAATTGCTATAAGAAGAAAAGGTGGTCCTTGATCCTCTTTGAACAAAATATCCTAAACGATTCCTAATGCATCGTTGACCAAGCCAGCTTTTGTTCACAAATTAATATCAACATAATATATGCACCTTTTGCTAGCAGTAATTATGCTTTAAGACTATGTGCAATGTCAGAATCTGCTTTTTTAGCTTCGTTACTGCTTATGTATATAGCAAAATCTTGGCTATAGGAATATTTAAAGGTCTAAGTCAGTCTATATTCATTGCATCAATATTAACCTACTTTATTAGGATAAATATGATATCAGAAAATTTACTACATTCTGTTTTATTTAACCTCCTTTCAAATTATGTGGTAAGAGTCCTCCAGTCAGTTAAAGTAAACTCTTCATCATGCAATCTTAAGAGACAAGATCTAAAGTTCTATTGCTCTTAAGAATTTTCAGATTAGCGTTAAACATCAACCTTATACACCTTCTTAATAGTATTAGAATTAACAAATTTACTACTCATTTTATTGATTAATAAACACATTCTAAAGAATTCTTTGTAAAAAAAAGTTTTTGCACTCTCATTTTTGTGGTTTATATACAGCTTGATTTACATTAATTATACGTGAGTATTATTATAATATACATTATACTATATATGTCGATTATATTACATATATATATGCATTGTTACAGTTTTATTATTAATATTATACTTTTATTATATTAAACGTCACAATTTTTATATTTTATTACAATTATAAAAAATTAATACTTAAATAAGAATTAGTATAACTATTTATTAAATTTACTCATATCAGAAAAATTACAAGTTTTATTTAATAAACTTTAATAAATAGCAAGAAGCTTACTAATTTTGCTCTGGACTTACAACAGTTTCTGTTGCCTCGTATTTTAAGGTAAATATATGATAAATTAATATAAAAAAAAATTAAAATTTTAAACTTATATATTTTGCTATCTATGATCTCAGAAATATGAAAATATAATCATTTAATAGGTCTTAATAAAATAAATCTAACAAACTAAATTTTATTTTTTATAATTATTAAATATTAAGTTATTTTGAAAAATTAAAAAATTAAAAAATTAATATATATTAATAATTATTAATTTTAAAAATTTAAAAATACAATCATTAGATAGATTTTAATATGACAAATCTAATAAATTTTATTTTATTTTTTATAATTACTAGATATTAAAATATTATAATTTTCTACAATATTTTATAATCAATTTATATCTACGCTTTAAGAAATATATTACATATTTTATAGAAAATTATATTAAATATATATATATATAATTATAGATTTATTTTTAATATTTAATCTTTAATAATTTATTGATTATATATATTAATATAAAATTTTAAAATTTTACAAATAGAATAATTAAATTAGATAAATATTAGAAATAAGCTTATTATTATTAAAATTTTCAGAAATGGCATTGATTATATTCATTATTATTAAAGTAAATATAAAATAATTTATCTAATATTTTTAAGTAAATATAAAAATAATTTGTTTAATATTTAAATAAAAAAAAAGAAGGCATCTTTAAAAATCAATTTTAATACTTAATTTTTTTTATTATAATTAAATTAAATAATTTAAATAATTTAGATTTTTTTTTTACTTATATTTAATAATTTTATCTAAACTTTAAAATTTAAATATTATTTTTATTAGAATTATAAATATATATTATCATATTCATATTTTAAGATTTACTATCATATATTTTAGACATTTTTAATTTTAATTAAATTATTATATTAAAAAATTTATTTATTTAAATAATAATGATCAATAACTTAAATAATTTTAAATAACTTAAATAATTAATCATATGATATTTGAATTATTTTAACATTAAATAATAAATGATCTGATATTTAAGAATTATATTATTATATTTATATATAATTTGATCTATACTAAGTATTTTATAAAAAATTATTTAGTTAAGCTAACAAATAATCAAAATTATATTACATAATTTTTTGATGTATATCAATTAGAAGATTAAAAAATACTTTAATTTAAATTCAAAAAAAAATAATAATAAATTCTAAGTTCAAACCTATCTAATTATTTATTTAACTTCTGAATTAGAATAAATTAAAAATTTTACAAAGATAATAATAGTTATCAAAATATATGTTAATACCTTTTGATAATATTTAGCTTTAAAATATTATTATAAAATTCA